TTTAAAAAATCATTATATTAATAATTTTAATAATACCATTATTATTCATAGTAATGGTACTATTAATACCATTATTCAGGTATTGTTCAGGTAATAATAATGCCATTTCTCTGGGAATGCCTGCTTTTCCCACAATATCGAGTGAATAGAACAAGAGGTAGGAAATATGAGCATTAGCCATGTATTGGCCCACCTAAATGTTTTTGTGCTGTTTTACCTTTATTGGGTAGCAATTGACAGTTACTGTATAAACTTTGGAGGTTATTTCTGAGTTACTAATGCATATTTCAGTAGCTTTCTGTGCATCATTTAAAAAATTCAGTTTTCCATCATATAGCAAAACTAGCTGATATTCGTTTGCTTTCAATCATCCATTCTACTTGCCCATGTTTCCTGCTCAATTAGTGCCATGTTTTACCTTCAAGAATGGAAATAGAAATAGTGTATTGCAGTATATATAACAAATAATTTTATAACTAGTTTTTCTTAAGCTTTTGTCACAATTGAAATTTTAATTTTTAAGAAATTGGAATCACCAATCAATTTTATTTTAATAACCACCACCAGACTTACTCCCAATCAATTGGAAACTATTGATCAGTTTTGGAAGGTAAGAGTGGTGGATGTCTTATTTTCAAATCTACTGTATATTGTAAGACAAGTCCTTCCAGTTTTCACACTGCAAGCATCATGGCAGAGGTAGCATGAAATGGAGGAGTGGTATTGCTCTCATGGATTATGCTGCAAGCTCGCAGGTCCCCAGTAAACCACAGGGATTGCTGTTATGTGATGTGTTGAGGACTTCTTGGATGTCTCAAGCCACGATGCTTTTATTAATAAAAGCCCACCCCACCCTCGTTGCTCTCAGCCTGTCAATCTGTCAGTGCTGTCAGTGCTGGGGGGAATCTAAGTTACACTCAGCTGATAACATTTTCTTATTATAGCCAATTCCTAACTGGATGTGTCAGTATATTTACTTGTTGACCAAATAGGGACTCCCCAGATGTGCAGTTTCTCATTCTACTAAATAAGAAGGCTATCTACTAAATAAGAAGGAATCCACTAAAATTATTACCAATTAATAAATATCAATGTTTGCAATGTTTTTAGTTCAATTATTTTGAAATCTTTTAATTTAAAATGTAATAATAATACAATTGAAAAAATAAAGTTTCTGGAGCTTTGAGAAATGCTACAATTGTAAATTTTTTTTTAAAAAGGGTTGGTGTGGAGATGAATTTCTGAAACAAAGCATGTGTGAAAGAGCCTGCATATATACATGCAGAATGATGTTTTGCTTTAATTGGATATAAATAATGTAAAGGAAGGCAAATGTTAAACTGCACAGAATGTTACGATTTATAAATACATTTTTAAAATGTCAATTAGCATTGCAGGTACAATTAATAAAAGCAGAAATGCTCCTGTTCACTTTGATAATACTATTTACGTTTTAAAGAATATTTTTTTTACTTCTGCCTGCTGTTGTGGTGGTAAGTCCTTTGTGTCATACAGACCTTTCTCATTAATTTTTCCAATTATTATTCCTTTTCTTTTTATTTCTACCGGCAAAAATCTACAGACTATATGAAGTGAAATAATTAGCTACTCACAATATTGCAGAGGTGTAGTGCAAGAGCAGGTCAGTCGGTGCATCCTGCGGATTCTGACATTTCAAATTACCTGAACAACACCTGAAGCAATCTTTGGACCTAATTAACATCCCACCTAGTTAATGTCAGAGCTAAATGTACACATCGTTTAAAAAGGTAGAGGCAAAGAATAATATGCATAGATTTTTCCATTTTTCCTATATGCAAAAATGCAGAAGCTTCTGGTATTTTGTTTGAGTGGAGTAACTCTTTTTCCATCAAGTAATCAATGCACTGCTGAATGAGTTCATTTTAATGCACTCAATCATGCCTCTAATGTTCATAGCTTACGGGCGCAAGCATCAGTAATGCAGGAATGTTATATGGCTTCAGTTTGGGCCATTTCATAAAATATTCATGGAATCAAAAATGTGCATCAAAATAGGGGCTGGGAGAATTACATTTATGTTGCTTCTGTAGTGGCAGCTGTGCATTTGCACTCATTTGTGTTTAAGCATATTTTTAAAACAAAGTATATAGGCTGTAGTATTTTAATTTTGAAGAGTATGTATCTGTAAGAACAACACTTGGGCTTTGGTTATGGAACTGAAAAGCTTCCTGGCTTTGACATTGCACAATGTCTTCCCATAGACAGTAAAGAAGTGATGCAAAAAGATGAAATATTACTGTAATGCCAGCTCTATTCATAGTCTGCCATTCCTCACTTTACATCAATCCATTCAGTCTTGCATCTCTACGAATGTGTTTGCCTTGTAGATGTCACTTTAATATTCTCCACGTTTCTCACAGTTACTTTGTGAATAGTCCTTTTTTCAAAGCAGAGATACAAATATCTCTTTCAATACTCCAAGTAATACAAAGATTGAAGCTAAATTCTTTGAGGTTTGTTTTAGAAATACATGCTTAAAATATTGTACAACCATATACATTTTTAAATTCTTCAAGATGGTCATGACTATTTTCCATCTTTTTGTGAAAACTTTGTAGCGAAAGAGGGAATATTCACATCTCATTTTATTATGACACATAGCACTTCTATAAACTGAATGTAAAATGTTATTGATATGAAACTGACATAGTCTGACTTAAAGTCATTTCAATGAACCTTAAGCATTAATATTGATGGACCAAGCTTTGTGTAAAATGTTCCATGTTTGTTCTTGTCAGTATAAACAAGGAAACCCTTAAATATTAAACTCATCTTTGATTTTGTTCCACTGAATTCTTTCTATAACATTCCTTAGCCAAGGGATAGATCTTTTTCATCCTCATAATCAAGAGAATTGCACTCATCTTCAATTTCTGTTAACACTTGCTATTACTAGTGCATTACCTCTCTCTTGTGTTATCATCATTTCCAAATATAAGAAAATAAAACATGTTTACTTTATGTAATGATTAACGATCTTACTCAGGATGACTAATGACAAAGCACGTGTTTTACAGTATATCCTTAAATCATGAATAAAGAATAAGGATTTTATTTGAATGAAGATACTGTATTACAATAAAATTTAAATTTTGTAATTAAATCATTATCATAGTTTCCCAACTAGTTTCCCAGTCCCAAGTGTCTAGACTTTCTTCTTTCTGTTTGTTGTCATCCTCTTTATTAAGGTAAGATAACATTCGAATTTTGGATATTTCCCCTGTATAAAACAGCCATTGATGGGCAACTGCCATAAATATTTACCTGTTTAAAATAATCAATACTGTTGTAGATTATTGAAAACTCTTAGTTGGTTATGAATAACAATAATTTTGAAACATAAAAATGGAAGGTTTTAGTTTTACTCTGTCAATTGATTCCTAAATGAGCACATTTAAATGAGGCAAAACTGGAAGAAAAAAACTGACATGCATTTGCCACTTTTCAGCTCCATGTTTTAATAAAAATACCAACCTACCAAAAAAGACTGTATAAATATTAGTATTTGCAAACTTTTGAACAGTTTACTGTTATATATGTTATAAGAGTTTTCTTAATCTGTGAATAAAAAAAATAATCTTTTTGCCCTTTCAGTTTCTGTGATGCAAGAAGTGTATATATCTGGTATATAAAAGTATAAATCTGGCAATTACATTTTTGTAATTTGTCTTGTAAATACTAATATCAACTAGATTTATAAACTGTATGTTATGGATTATATATTTTAGTGTACATTGTATATTTTTATTTATTAAGATACTACTAAAATGTTTGCACTGATATTCTCCAGAATCACTTTGAACCAAGGCCAACAAAATCCTAAACCATGGCACAATTCAGCTAGAATGTGCATTTTTGATAGGCATTAAGAAAATAAAAGTATTTATTTTGAGAAGAATCTCCAAAGAGTAAAAATCACTTGAAATAACTGGTAAATGTTTACCAATGACACTGAATACCATGAAAACAGGATAAATATCATCTTAATTATTTTCTTAATGAATATTCTGAAAACAAAATGTATGGAGATGATATGGTGCATTAGTGAAAGAAGACATACAGTCTCAATTTTATTTCCTGAAGTAACTAATTGGGTATTATATCACCTTTCCAGAACTTGAATTCTGTTCTACCTAAATGATCTTATTATTTCACTAATTTGTAATTATAACCACTTCAGCGCCCCTCAAATGTAGTAATGATATTGAGATTTAGAATGGAAATTTAAACAACTCATAAAATTAAATATAACATATGCAAAAAGAATGAAAAAGAAAACTTTGACTCTTGATGCTACATAAAAATACATTACTAGTAGTCTAGGGGCTAAATCTGTATTTGCAATTCAGATGATTTCTTTTCAGTTCAGCAACAGGTCTTCTGAATACAGTTGATAAAGTTAACTAGTCTGCTTCCCGGAGTAGGAGTACACATACAGTACAAATTTATTTTTTTTAATATACCTACATTATTTTTATCTTAGTTTTGCTAGTGTTCCAACAGTTTCAGTCATCAATCTGTGAAAGTTTCAGACACCTTCAAAATGTTTTTTTCTAGGATTTTTAGTTTTCTACAACTTGTTGCAAATTTGACATCATTCTGACTGTTATCCAATGATATGTTGCAAGTACTATTACATTTGTTTCAGGAAAACAGAGATTTATCTATTTCCTTTTGAATCTTTTTTCCTTTTTCTTTTTAAGCCCCTTTTCTGTTTTGTATAATTGCTTCCGTTTATACCTCAGAGATGTTTTGTATTTTGAAAACTCTCCACCAGAGCCTGCTGTTACATACTCATGTGGATAGCAATTCAGACCTAATGTATGTCACCAAGCTCCAAAGAAGCAATAGTAAATTCACTGACTTGTGTTCTATTTTTTTATTTGATAAACAAAAGTGCTTAAAATGTAATAAAATGATATGGTAATGTTCAATGGCAAAAAACATGTTTATTGCAGGTCAGCTGGAGAAAGCCACTGAACATTATGAAGCATTCCATCATCTGACATTGGGGCGGGCATGGAAGGATGAGGCAGGGCGTACTCACAACTCGTGGGCCTGTGAAGGTCTCTGGAGGATTTACACATTACTCGCAGACAAAATGCTCGAAAATAAAGAACACAAGCAGGCCATCAAAACTATAATAAAAGCCTTTGAAATGGCAAAAGAAGGTGGGTGGAAAATAACACTCTCAGATTCCTTTCTTTAATGTGCTAACCCCCGTTCTCCCAGGAGAGAAACTAAAAATCATCATATGCTTGACTGGCTGATTATACCCCATGAATTCTAAAGACAAATGCAGTCAATATACCTGCAAATCTGACCATAAAACAGAAGTGCCTTTCTTTCTCTGGTCGTGCTGCTGATACAGTAGATCCTATTAGTTGCTTGAAAGCTTGACTACAGTAAATGAATCTTTTTTCTTAGATGCCTGAGAGCAACTTCTAACATATTTTGAAGGTTAAAGAAAATGTTTTCCCTTATCTGAAATAAAAATAAGAATCACTTTCAAGATGTCACCTTCTTATTTTGCTATTTGCTTATGGCATAGTGTTTCTGTTACATTAAAAAGCGTCTGCTGAATGATAAAAATAGAAAATGTCAATCAGTAAAAACAGTAGGGTTGGCAGAACCCTGAGCAGATCAACATTATGTATAATTACAGCTTGTTTTAGAAAGGAAAATGTTTGCCTATAGTATAATATGATTGCTCCTACAGCCCATATAAATTTAGGATCAGTCAGTGCTTTAGGGTGTTTCAGTGGAGAGTCACTACACACTGTTCAGATTTGTGGAAAAATTCATGTTCTTCTTCCTATCAAGGTAATACAGATTTAATAAATGAATTAATAAAAAATACAAATAAAATATTTTATGTGGGTAGCTGTGTCAGCATGCATAGTCTGCAAAGAAACAAGTAATAGGTTAATTCCATTCTGAAAAGAGAAGAGAGAAAACACAACATTTTGGCTTTGAAGCCTTCAGGTGTGAGATGAATAAAATATTTTATTTTTGTATATTCAACCACATTTCCTACATTCACATTGCACAACTATATACTGAGCATAAAAAATAATCGTATAATTTTTAATAAACTGCAACAGATGTACAAAGATATTTTCAGGGAAATGTCAAATTATTGTTGTTTTTATTGTAGAAGGTGCACAGATATTTTATTGGACAGACATTTCACCTCCATGGGGTTGACACCTTTGTGCCTTTGATATGTTAGAGACTGAACTTAGTCAGTGCACTGTCCAGAGTGTTCACAACCAGCAATTTCTAACTTGGCAAGTCATTGCACTCAAAGACAGTCTGTCAATGGCAGGCAGTGAGTTTGAAGACCACAAGTCGCAACACCTCACAAAGTGTAAGTGGGCAGGAGCATATACAGTAGTTGGTACAGAACATCATTCGTAGTAATGTCAGATGTATGGTAACTGTTACAGTAGTAACCTAATGTCACCGCACCACCTTAATTAAATCCTGGTGCTGCCCTTCCTGTGGGTGCATCCTCACATTACAACATCCCAGCAGGAGAAATCGCATACTCATGTGCTTGTAAACATGAGCGTTCTTGCAAGTTAAAAATGTGATGATTATGTCGTGGATTCCCTACTCGCCAAACTTGAGGCCCACTAAACATCTGTGGTAATAACTGGGATGACATGTAGGGCTCGGAGCCCAGTAAACAAGAACATGCTTGTGCATAAGAAGAATGAAACAATCCCACTAGACAGCATCCACAACCTGATGCAAAGCATGAATTGCAGATGTACAGCTTCCAATGGAGACCACACATATTACAAGCCTGTTACTTTCCCTGTTGTTTATTATTTTTTTTACTGGGACATACTGGTTCTATTCTGTGCTTTTCTTACTTTTTACCAGACTTAACTTTCAACAAGTTAAATCACTTCATCACCTTTATCCAAAGAACTCTTTGAATAATGAAGTCCTTATGCAACATTCAAAGTCACTTAATTGTATAATGGTCAGTCATGTTTCAAAAAACCTATATTGTGATGTTATTTCTGATGTTAATTATACAGTATGTTGTCTTTGTAAGCTGTCAGTCAAGCTATTATGATTTTTTTTTTCATGGGAAACAAGGTTTTTAACAGAAGCTTCATATTATAAACTCACTTGTCAAAAGGAGATGTCACAGATTTCAGCAGCTCTGCTCCAATATGCTGTGAAAATGAAATTAACCTCAATGACAAAGTGTTGTATCCTCAGATCTTTTCTTCTGGTTTCCTGAGTGATTTTCTTTTTCTGAGAAGTGTCTGTCAGACATGTACTGTACAGTATGTAATATGTAGTTTTAAACATCGACTGCTCATACAGTACTCTTCTGTTCAATGTGGTTGATGATGGAACACTGTGTTGGCAATTGTAGAAGCGTTGAATATTGAAAATACTTAAGAGCACCAGAATTTGGAACAGTAAGGAACATTGTTGAAAGAACATATCAAATTTGAAATCAAGATTCACTTTTGTGAGGTCTGCACCATCTATGCAGAACATAGCTTTTTACCTTTTATCATTGTACATTCCAGTCCTATTGCTTCATGCTTTAGGCTGTATATCACGTAACAATCACAAGTGCCACTTTTACCTGAAATTTCTCATGAGGATACATTCTTTCTGTACAGAAATGTTTTTCCATTTCAGTTTGCAGAGCTTGAAATAATTATTGGACCACAGAATCTGTAGATCTTATGATGTCACTTATCTGATTCATTTTTTTCATAGAGGACATACAGTACAAGTACTCATCTATTCTCAATAACTAGATTCTGGCTTCATGCTGAATCTTCAGAAATCAGAAATAACTGTAAACATTTTTAGTAAACCAATCTTTTATAAAGCCATTGCAACATTGCTGTGGCAAACAAACATCTAGGCACAGTATTTGTAGGTGACTGGAAACTTTTATCAGGAAAGTGTATTTAATATACGCACTATATGTCCATCTGTGTTTATCTTTGTACTTTCATAGATTTTTTTGTGTGAAACAAAATACTTTGCAAAAAAGAGTCATCACTGAAATCATCAAAGTTTCCCTTCATGGAAATGTGAATATAAAATGTCTACTTTTGTGAAGTGCCAGCATCACTGAATTTGCAGTAAAATTCAAAGGCACAAGGACAAGAAACAGAGTAACTAGGTGATGAACTACCTTGCCAGTTCTGAAATCCCAGTGAGTGTGCACTAACATTAGCGTTCATTTTTATCCCATGAATTATCTGTAACCACTTCTCATTTTGGAATAAAGGATATACCATGGCTGATTTAAGGTTTGGGGATAGCCTAGGGCAAGTTATTCTAAGAGCCCCCCAATGTCAATGTGACTGCCTAGCAGAATAAAAGCAAGAGCAATAAACCTGAGGAAAAGTACTTGCATTGAACAGGGGCTCCCTGAGGCAATGGCCCAAGTGCCCTGTGGTTAAATCCTCCACTGAAAATATAATAATCAAACTACAGGGATGAAAAGAACATTGGTAGTGGTAGCAATCCAAAATCAAAATATACATTTAATTTTTTCTAAGTCTTTAATCTTTATAATCCTTTTTTTTCCAGCGGGTGATAAAAAGATAGAAGGAAAGGCTGCTTACCGCGTAGGACTAGCTTATCAAAGTTCTGGAGATCAACAAACGGCTATGACTGTAAGTGTTACAATTTGTGGGGGGGTTTTGTGCAAGTTTTATTGTTTTTACTTTCATTTTCATTACAAAATTCACAATTCTTTTTTACAAATATTTTATGTTCGCATGTCACATGTTGTAATTTAACTTAAACTTATACCAGGTTTAGATGTAGCTATTGGTACTCCACAAACATAACTGTGTATAATATTCAATGCTTTGTGTTTTTATAAGGATTATAGAAGTCACAATACAAATATGAGAAATAAGTTTACCCTAATGTCATTGCTACTACTTTGGGTAATTGTGATAGAAAACAACAAAGGGTGAAGTATTTGGACATATTGAAGTATTTATGGGACAAACGCTGTATACTGTAATTGTGGAAGTTTGACGAAGGAACAGTTCAGAAAACAGCTAACTTATTTAGAAGTTTACCTTAGTGCTACATTTAGTGGATATTATATTGAAATGTTTTTTATTTGAAACAGGCTTTGTATTTGACTAGTCTTTTTTATACATTTATCATTGTGGTATGTCTGTGTTATTTATTAAATTGTTAATATAATTAACAGTACTAATTCTTTTGTAACAGAATTATTATTTTTTTATACCCATACACTTATTATGAGCTGATATTGTTCTGCTTTTCAATATTTCCTTTTAACTGTATATAACAAGTGGCCGACAGATTTCTTTTGCTATTAAAATTGCAAATTGTGATAAATTATTTTACTCTGTACACGCCTGTGGGAGAAAAACACACAGGTTTCTTGTTTACTGAAAATTAAAATAGTATATATATATAATTTATTGGATAAATTCAATTTTAATAAAACTTTCATCATTTTAATTTTATTATTAAACACAAACTTCTCTTAAAGGTTTTATGATATTTTTTTTCACAGGAGTGGAGTCGTGTGCTCACTAGAGAATAGTGAAGCATAATCAAGTATCAAATTCATATATATATTATTGTATTTCCGGAGGGCAAGTGTTTTTTGGAATAAAATATAGGAAGCAGTTAGCAGCCATAAACATTTCAATGAGGCTGACATAAATCACTTAGAGATAATACAAGTTCCATGACACTGTTTCTAGTGTATTTTCAGTAAATATTGTTCTTTTGAATGCCATGGTGCAATTTAGTTATATAGTACTACTATAAACAAATAATTATTCATTACCATGTTTGGAAGTGGTAGTTTGAGGTCCATAAATTCAATTAAGGCTGACATTAGTCAAGTCCCAATGAAGTAATTCTCTGACATACAATAGAGAGCGGCAAGTGCCCCCATTTTAAGAATTATTGCCTAAGATTTACATTTACATTGTCATTTTAATGGTCCCTTCAACTGAGCAGAGCTCAGATGCATACAGGGCCGCAATCACAGCCTTCCCTCCCTTAGGACTTCCGTTTGTCATTACACATAGCTTGCAAACTCTTTGCCATTAGAAGTCTCTGTGCCTGGTGGTAATGTGCAGTTTATCTGCTGCCTCAGAGAATGCTAAAGAGGTCCTGACACACGGTGGGGACTCCTGGGGTCTGGGCTCAGGGGTCTCAGTGGTTGTTTGCCTGTTTTCCATCAGAGTTTTCATCTCCTTTATCCTTTTGTGCTGCAGCCCACCTCGGGCAGTCTCCTTAGAGGGGATCTAAAAGGAGCAGCTGCTGTTAAAGAGTGCCATTTCCTCCTGCTGTCACCACGCTGGCATTCCCCATTAATATGCATATGAACTTGTTTCTCTTAGTTCTGAACTCTAATGACAAAGCGGGAAAGCATATGCTTGAAATATTTATGATCTTATCCAGTAATTAAGAGGTAGAGAAAAAAGGGAGAATGATGCTTGGATTATTCACCATGCTGGCCTAGGAAATGCTATAAATAGTCTATTCTTGCTATCTGTCATCAGAAAAATATTATGTGTCTTTTTATCCTTAAAGAATTTTAATTGCCCTTTACATTATTTTATTCCTTATCTTTCAAAATGAGGCATATTATGCTGTGTCAGCCTAAAGAGAAAGGAATTATTCACTTGCTTTAGTTATCTGTCTCATGCAAACAAACTCACTATACTTTGACTATAATGGTAATCAGACATGAGAATAATTTACTGAGAGCGCAAGTAATGTTGTCTTATGTACACTACCCTACTCCCTCCCTACTCTCCTACTCTTTTTTTAGCATGACCAAATTGCTTAAATACCAATGTACAGTACATGTAAAAAGGTTTTTTATGTCTTTGTTGTAAATACAGATTTAAGTCACAGTTTAGCTGAAATGATTCTTTGCCATTATAGGTGTACAGTATATGGAATAGCTTAAACAACTCATAAGAATACTTTTTAGTTCTGTTTATCCTTGATACTTATGTTTAATGCTTTCCAACCTTTTATTTTCAAATCAGTGTTACATGAATACCCAAGAATCAATAATTACTACAGTAGCTATAGGCATAAAAAGGATCCTTTATAGATACAGACTAAAAATATGTATTTAACAGTGCCATGTATCTTTGATGTTAAAAAGCCCTCTCATAAAAATCTATTTTAATCTTCCTGAGTTACTGTCCCAGACAGTATTAAGGATACCTTTAGATAGTTTAATGGAACAGCTAATAATAATGATAATGCTCATCAGCCAAAAAAAGGAATATGTTTATTTAACTGTACAGTACATTTAATAACATCAAAAAATAATGTTACTATTACCTTTCAGTGTTTAATGGTTTAGGTACCAAAGATGCAAGGTGTCTGGACATATATGTCATTTTTTACAATTTTGTAACATCATATACAGAATAACAATGTTTTCAGATTTTTTTCTGAATTTAATCTTCTGAACTTTCCGAATTTAGTTTAAATCCACAATTTTGTTATTTGGTTAGGTAAAATCTACAGATCAAAACCAGAGTGCAAAAATGTCAGCTTTATTCTTTTGCTCTTGTGCCTGTACATGTATATATTTACAGAAAGTGCCAAAAGTAAATTGTTTTTTTTATTTTAATTACAAGTAAATACTCAAGTAATTTTACAAGTAATTTTCATATTCTTAAATTCTTATGGGATTACAATTTAACAGTATTAAATGTTAAATCTAAGAAATTATTGAATATACTGTAATTGTCAACAACAGACATCGAGGTCTATTTATTGGCAAAATTATAAAGCAATTAAAACACTGCTTGTTCAGCTCAATTTTATTGATGGTATTAAATCATTCTTTGTGTTCTGTTATTTTCTTTCCCACTGTAGTTTTTAATTTTATTAAGTCAAAGCATTCTTGCTTCTGATCTCTTATAAATACCTAGTTGTTCCTGGTTGTGCAGATTTCTCTTCATTTAAAATCTATTTAAATTTTCTAAGTGCAAACGGGAAGGCAAAAAGCTTTGATGTGGAAAAATAAATATAATAATAAAGTGTGTGGCATACCATTCATGGAATTCTCCTTCTAAGTACTTGAAGACACTGAGGCATGCTCATGCATACAGTATGAAATAAGGGTCTTAGGAGGATACTGAATCTTGACAACCAGGTATATTATAGTCGACACTGCTGTGAGATAAAAGTAAACCAGACAGCTGGCCCACAGTACTTCGAATAGTTCATGCATTTGCACTTACCAAAATGTGGAAGTCTTCGTTCTCCAGTTTCATGGCTCTTCTTCCCTTTTCATTCGTGCAGTAAAGGTCTCACTTTCCAGTAGGTATTGCCCTGTCTACTGACATGTTATTTTGGGCCCTGATGGCACACATTGCACCGAAGAAATCTCGAGCTTATTGGGCTGCGGTCTCATCGCTACTTCTATCCCCGCACTGCTTCCTGCTTGTCATTGCTCAGCACTCAGCGCCACACTGGCTTGTTTTGTCAATAACCATTTATTTGTTGCTGGAATAGCAGCAGCCATTACATCTGACCTCCCTGTTTCATCAATTATGGATAGATTATTGGATGTGAACATCTGCAAAAGCTTGCTGTTGGACTCACCTCCTGGCTGGGATTAGATAAAGTATTAAACTGTTGTTTATTGTCAGGCCAAAACTCTACTGGGAAGCCAGGGGGAATTCCTGAACCAGCAAACTCCCATCAGCAGGCACCTTAAATTGTTTAGTAGTGCCGCTGAGCCCCATAAGATGTTAGCCATTTATTATTTACACTTATTACTAGTTGTTATAACATACATGATAAAAGCTCCTGGCAGACACAATATTTAGTCATTGTTTGTCACATCCAACAATGCAGGAATAGAAGATAAAGCCTGTCGTTCTCACACGGCTGTTAAGGGTAACAGATGGAGCTCTAACACCTTGCCAAAAGCTACTTTCTACTGGGAAATTCTTCAGTTGGCAAGAAAAAATGTCACATATTATTTATAACTGACCATCAGTGAGCTTGGTCATTAATGTTGGAGGACTAGTACTGGAGTTGGAGGACCAGTAGTTGGAAAAAATTGTATTTTTATTTGTTTTTTGGGGTGGGGAAGTGGAAATACATGAAGAACCACTGCACAGCAGTGTATACAGCTGTATGTGAACCTAAAATATGTTTTATTCCAGAAACAGTACTATTTATTTTAGTAATAGTCAAACACAATAGTATATGACCCTAGACTGTGAGGTGTCAGCTCTGCTATTATGTTGGAGTGATTGTTTTGATTTTATTTTTGGTCATTGATCTGAATAAGTTGAACACTGTCATAATTTAGTGGTAAATAGTACTGCTAATTGCAAATAAAGTAGGATATCTAATAAATACTACCAATAATATTATTATTTTTTTACAGTTACTTATCGAAATGTTAAGGTGTGAAATTAAGTGAAAATGGGCCATTGTAATTATTTATTTTGCTGATCAATTTATATAACACAGCTTACATTTGTACTTATTTACATTGAAATAGTCTGCATGATACACCTTGCTCAGGGGCATAAAACAGTGCTTCTCCCAAGATTCAGATCCACCATCTTTTGGTTATGAGTCCTTAATCACACCTGTTCTTTCACACTATGTTAACTATTCGGCCCCATCATTGAAACTGTAAATGAAATTTATCTAAAATGCCTCAATTGTAATGAGATTGGAAGTCCATATTAGCTTATTTTTGGTCACTCTTTTTTGTTTATTGTACAAGGCAGAGAGGTTTATAGCATAGGGATATGCAAATTACATTGAAAATATACAATATACATGTACTGTAGCTTATTGTACAATATGTACCATAAAACACATTAAATGTTAAATTTAAATAGGATAGTTTGAAATATTTTGCATTGTTTTAGATTAGAGATACAGTACATCTTTATGGTTAAATGTAGAAACTGATATACAGTTTATCAAATGCTATTAAAATCTTTATAAAAACACATCTGATTTGTTTGAATTTTTCTAAAATCCATTAAACAGGTGGAATACTGTAACAGAATATATTAATTTAAGAAATTTTAAGTAGACTCTCAGAAAAAGAGGCAGTTACATTCCAAGAAAAAAGCAAAAGGAAAGAAGATGGAAATACAACACCAGCGATTGTTTTTCATTTTTAAAGCTGATATCCAGCTTTAGCATTTGGCTTGTTTAGTTCCATTAAATAACAACGAATATTAATTTTGAATTAATTTTTTTCTCACTATTACTTCTGCTCTTGTGGTATTCAATTCAAAGATGAGCATTTTGGAGTTCAGGAGTTTTTTTATTTTAAGCAGTACTACACAGACATAAGCTTTTTTGGAGTTGACTTTGTTTTGGAGTCGTCAGACTGCTGGACTGGTGACTGGCTTTAGATACAGTGAGAAAGTTATTTTAAATTCTATTTATTTCTGTTTATTTATTTACACTTAATTTTATAGTATTCCAGTGTCATTTTTTAAATGTTTATCCTCTTTAATTTGCATTTCTCAAATTTCCTTGTGACCAAATCACCATATACAACTCTAAATTGAAAACCTGGTATTTTCCTTTGAAAATGAAACCAATATTCTGGTATTTAATAGGATAAAAGCTAAAGTATTTAACTACTGACAAACTGCTTTTTGCATTTCTTTAGATAATTCCCACTTTTGTGTTCATAATTTTGTTCATTTTCAAAAGGCTTTGATATTGTAGGATGTAGATAGGGCAATGGATAAAAACTAGAGTACTGATAAGGAATGAATGCTGATATTAGGGAGAGATAAAGTTAGTGGATATACTGTAAACAAGTATCTGTTCTGGAAGTGTAGGTAAACAGATTGCAGATGACATTGAATTTAGACAGCTGTGGAATGTTATATGCAAGTAACAAAAGAATAAATATAAGATAGGAAGCACTCAGACTGAAGAAAATTCGTAAGAACATAAGACAGGTCTGAAATAACAGCAAATCATTTGGCCTATATAGCATTCCAACCATTTCTTGAAAAAAACAGCTTCAACAACATGGCTGAGAAGCTTGTTCCATATGTCCACAAAACACTTAGCATGAACTGTCTCCTGTTTTCGGTTATAAATGCTTAGCAAACTAGTTTCCTCTTTTGTTTATTCTGAAGAGTGGCACTGGGTTAACATTGTCAGTGCTTTTCTGGATTTTGAATACTTTAATCAGGATCATTCATTCCTTGTGAATGAGTCTTAGGTATCTATGTAGATGTATCTTTTTCATCATCTGGAGAATCAAGAATGAATAAGGTAGACAAATCGAATGCTAATGTAATGATGTGCTCTTACTTGACTGAGAGCAGAAGTCCGAGACGGTGATGCAAACTCAGGTACAAGGCAGAGCGATCAGACAGTAGCCGGTTGTAGGAACAGGCTGAATGTGCAATCCTAGCCGTAGTCAGGGACAAACAGAAATTTGTAGCCAGCAGAGACAAGAAAGCACATAAGATAATCCAGGAACTTATCCAAAAGTGCAAGCACAGATCAAAAACACAGGAAAAGCCAAACAGAATGCAGGGGAAATCCAAAAGTGAAGTTGAAAACACAAGCAAGGTCCGAAGCTGGAAATAAATGACAAACACAGGGAAAAACAGATTCTCTAAAACAGAGCAAAGGTGAGTGGTGAAATCAGGTCTTAAATAAGAATAAGGTTAGCACTGGTTAAAAGAGTACAGAAGGTTTTTTGCCACTTCACATTGTCAAGGTAATTGATAGATTGGATCTTGAGTAGTAGTTACACTGATTGCTCAAGAGTGTCTTCCGGTAGTCTGTCATGAGCAGGTATAACAGCTAGGCTATATAGTTAATAGGACACTATTGGAAACTAAGAACATGAGGCAACTCTTTACCCAGAGCATATTAGGAGTCTGAATAGAGCTACTGTACCTAGCCATGTAGCGATACCTGAGTGTGTTTCAAGCAATGGCTGGCAGAACTAGCAACTAAACAAGCTAGAATGACCTCCTTTTTGTCAGTGATGGTGACAGTACAATGTTTTCTTCACCAAAAGCAAAAATGATTTAATATACTCGTATCAATTTGGTGTGCTAAACTAACAAATATTTTGCATGAATATATACCCTGCAACACGGTGTCAATATTATAATGGTAAAAGGAAATTAATGCCATTGTGCATTAATTTGATTTAATTTTCACAATCATGTGAGATTAATTTAATAATATTATGTTCACAATTAGAACACAGTTGGGTAATCTATACATAATAATCAACAAAGCACATATCTCAGAAAAATTAATCTATCATACCAATGCGCATGTTTCATTATTAAACAGATCTGATCAGAAGAATTGTGGAATTGTGTTCAGAGACGCATTTGTCAAACAAAGAGGATAAATTATGTCCTTCTTCAAAAGCACCTTCAATAATACATATGAAGTAATTCAAGATGTTAAAGTTGCTTGTGCTACCAGTGTTTTTTATTAACTTTTTATATTTTCTGCCTTAAACAAAATAACTTTTGCAATTAAATCTACAAGAGCAGATTCAGTGCCTTTAGATACAAAGTTTTAAAACAGACTTTAACCCTCTGAATCTGTTTCTGATAAAATGCATTATTATTTTTCCTCCGCAAACCACTCTAAAACCACATAGCACCCTATAAAATCCAGATAGTGTCTTCAGACATTTTTTCATTCTCATATGGAATACACCATTTCCGACAGGGGAATGCTTCATCCTGGTTCTGACCAGAGACAGAGAAGAACAGTGTCTAAAATCCCATGGGAAAAATACCACAATTCAGCAAATAGCAACCAAAGAACATGGATAAGAAGCATCTTGTGATAAGGAAGAATGAAATAAAGTGAGCATCTCACAGAATGCAATCACATTTTTTCTGTACCTGTTACCATGTAACTACTGTACAGTACTCTCAATGTGATTTTACAGTAATTTTGCAGTGTGATCCTGGTTAAGCTCTGTCCTTTACTTTTTTCCATGTTGCATTTTTGTCATTCACCCATAGCACTGTGTTCTCACTCCTCTCAGTCGTTCTTTCAGCATTGTACAAGAGAAAATGGCATTGTCATAAAATATTGAACACATTAAATCAAATTAATAATATTGAAATGAAACAAAAACTGCAATAATCTCCTTTTTTTTTCAGATTAACTATCAAAGAAATTTGCTATGACATGGTTCTTGATTGCTTATTTAATGTGTTGATGTTTATATAATTTTTTTTTGTTTTTGAGCCCAAAAAGAAACATTTTGTCCTTATATTCACACTTGCTATTGATTGAAAAAAATATAATTTATATTAAAAGTTATATGACTAAGGCACACAGTCAGGGCTCTGTATATGTTATATTTCGGTCTCTACTATTAAAATTATTAACAGAAGTTTTCTATAGTAGGCACTGAATTGAAAACGTGGCAGCCTTCAGAAACATGCAACATTTAAGTGTTTCAAAAATTGATTGTGCACTAAAGCACAAATGCCACGTTCATTTCAAACTTCATAACTGAAATATGAACCATATCTTATATAAAATCTTCTTGTTACCAGATCCTACCTTGACAATTGGTAACCCAATTTGCTGAATTCTGAGAACTTTTCATTTCTTTGTCTTCCCTGAAAAACCATTTCATACCAAAGTAATGAGAAAGCTGATAAGAGTTTGTAAGTCAGGTCTAAATGCCCTGACATAAATCCCATAGTCCCAAACTATTGCAGTCCAATATAACTCACCCTCAAAGAAGAACCCATTGACCAACATAATTCAATTATGGTCTTTTTGTATAGTTCTTTCCTGAAAACAGATAAACTTCAGATTGATTCACATTCATTCCTTATTAGCAGCCATTTAAAAAGAATAATAATTTATTAATTTTAATGTTTTCCATACAAACTACAAAGATCAAATCTGATTTGGGTCTTACTAACGTTATTGTGCATTGTAAGAGTCTTTGTTTACTTTTAATTATATTTTTGCATAATAAAAGTAATTGTTTCTTAACACATTAACCTGTGGGTCATTATCAGGTCACAATGAAGAGGAATCACTGACCACATACTGTACATACTGTATTATCCATTGGTTCAAAAGTAATAATTAGTAATTCACTATGGACCTGACTACATTAGTTTCTGAGAGCCTAATGTATTCTTAGATTACAAAGTATCCAGCACTACAGCAATTAAAGTATTTCACAAGACCATTGAAACCTTTCATATAATTGTTTACAAAACCAGTTAATACAATATTTAAGCTCTTGATTGGTATATTAAAAATATTATCTTTGAAGATTTAATTTTTAGTGTCGTGTGGCATACTTTGGGCAATTTATGAAAATTATAAAGCATTTCTAACCTTTGATCTTCTACAGCATTCAGAAATTGAATCATTAGATTTGTTGCTATTTATGTACTTCTTACAATATGGTAGGATTCTACCATTGTTGTCATAAGAGTATTTTGCTCAACTGTTTAGTATATAATACTTTTATTGAGCCAAAGTTTAGATCTTTTTCAAAAGTTTAGAAATAGGTTTTATTTTCCAAAAAAGCAATAATCACTCAAATCTCTTCATTACTATTAAAATCTAAAGCATTACATCACAATTATAATATGTGAAAATAGTGACTCATTTCTCAGCTAAGCACTATTTTTTGCTAAAACATGGCATTCATCAGTGAGTTTTAAGCAATAGTAAATCATCTGTGTTAATGTCTTGGCATTGAATACTATGAAAAAGCTTTTTGCATACATCATGTGACTCAATTACTAAGTGCTTTATGGGAAAGTGTCTAGCAACCATTTACATTAGCAGTCTACCAGCACCTTGTGAGCTGGATCCGGTAACATCAGCAGAAGCATTAGTACAGGTTGGTCTGTAGCTCTTTATTGCACTGCTTGTCAGAAATCATTAGTTCATGATCTTTGATTAATGTTGCAAGTGATTGTATGAATAGTATTCAGAGAATGGATTGCAGTAAGATTCTCCTTTCTCAAAAAATGGATGGACAACATTACATTGTTGAAAATAATGACTATTACCATTTTGTTCATAAAGGTGGTGAAGCTCTGTATATTTTTTAAAAGGGCATTCCATTTTTACATTGCCCTCCTACTTTGCTATCTAGTGTAGAAGAAAATTGCAGTCTAACTCATCTAACTGCAGTCTGGAATGCAGTATCATACATTATTAAATTACTTTGATAGTAGAAAAGGTAGAACTTTTTCACATCTTCACCTGCAAAAATAGCTTGTATTTCATTTTATATTTACAGTGATTGTAAATTCAAGAAGATTATTGAATGAGATAATTTCATAGATATATACTGTTAAGGTGTACATTTGTGTATACCTTTTTTCTGAAACTCAGTTATTAATTTCCACTTAAATAAATTAATCTGCATTGACTTAGTCTCCAAAATTAAAAAGTCAAATTTATAAGTATTATTTTCAATCTTTCCTGTGCTTACAAGAAATGTATATTTATGGATATACATAATTAAAGGTGTGGTATATTTCAAGAATCGTAATTTCTGTATTTTCCAGTCTGTTTTCTTAATGTAAGCTTGAAGCAAAAGGTGGATAGTATTATTAAATGATGGGACAATGGAATTATAAAAATTCTGTTGTTAAATCTCAAACACTACTACATATTAAATGACAGTTTTACATTTGTACAGGCTACAAAATAATTCTAATTCTAAAGCTATCCAGCGTACCTTAAAATAATAGTTCTTTTTATTTTCTTTGCATCAATTGCTGTGCCACTCTCAGTAGAGACAGACAGAGAGTGCTGACAGACATGAGTGCTATAGACTCATACTATATGCAAACTACATACTGTATAAACTCATACTATAAGACATCCATCCATTCATTTCTAACCACTTTATCCAATTCAGGGTCATGGGAGAGCTGGAGCCTATCCCAATAAGCAATGAGAACTGATAGGATACTCCCTTGACAGGATTCCACAGACACAAACATGCATGTACATGTTTGAGACAAAATTTGATAAGTGACAAAGGTGGTCTAAATATCTCTCTTATGCTTCAATGGCACAAATAATCAATAAAATAAAATGAGTCTTAGGCAAAAAAAACTCCTAAAAAGTAGGTAATATGATGGTTGATTGGTAGTTCTCATTGTTTCCTGCAGCTCCTAGAATAATTCTTATGTTTGTCTCATTGGCCTTCGTGCTCCCTGGCACAGTTTTTGTGAAAAACTATTTGTATTTAGACAGGGAACAAGACCATCACTGTACAAAATCAGCACACAACACAATCATGCTTTTCTGACAATTATTGCAGACACCTTATATTGTTACCTTATAAGTTGAGGAGTTAATAAAATAAAAAATACCAAGTGGGGTAAACATAACCTCAAATTGTAAATATATACCAAGAACATACCAGAGTAGCTGGTATAGTTAGAGAGATCTAGGTTCTTTGTTCTTCAGCAAAGCGTTAGTGAAAGAGTAATTAATTAGATGCAAACTGGGATAAATAAACATTAATTCACAATACCAGAAACTAAATCTAGACTAAGTAACACATAACAGAATATACAAATGAATCTATTTGCAAACAGAGCATCTCAGAGGCCTACGGCTTGAGCAACCAGAAAACCCCAGGCTGTTAACCCAGTACTCGGAAATCCTAAATAATGCCTAAGCAAGCCATCATGAGAGATAAACCTGCATCCTAAATAAAACAAAATACAACCCAGAGCTACAGTAAATCTCTCTTTCTTAAAATGTGGATGCTTCACATTCTCGTACTTTTGTATTATGAACTCTAATTCCAGATTAAATAAATGTATGCATACTGTAAATGTAGCAAAAACAATATTGTTTATGTTTTTCAATGGTAACCCAGATATTATTAATCACAATTTTATTATTGATCACATTTTATGTCTGCAAAATAGATAATATGGTGTGGAATCGAAGGTGTGTCTTGAAGAAATTGCCTGTAGTTAGTATCAGAAAGGTAATTACTTAAAGTCACAAGAGGAAAACCTTGAAGATCAAAACCTCTGCTTAGGATGGAAATATATTGACCTTACTTCTAAATTTAATATGTCTTGGGATTTTGTTTTACTTGCTACATCTTATCTGTTTCCAAAGTAATAAAAATGAATCAATTGACTATAAACTGGTAGCCACAAGTGCTGTTGCTGTATTCTGGTTGAGCCTACACGTGTTAAATTCTACATATTCTGAATTTGAAACATATTTTCATGATTCATTACTTTTTATGAAACAAACGTATATATCTTTTCATAGTAAATCTTTAAAAAAATAATCACAATGGTAAAATGACTTTACAAGCAGTAAAGAGTCTTACTTTTTACCTGAAATCTCCTGTAGCCATGTCTTTTTGAATGGTGTCTTAAATTGGTTCACTTCACATTATTGCAGGGCAGATCCCCTTTATTCTGTAGATTTCTGTAGAACGTAGGTTTTCAGATTACTCAGGATGGAGAGATGTACTCACCACAGACAGATGGTGTTTATAAGTAGCTGTCCCAGAAGTCAAATTTCAATGCTTATACTGTAATTAATTAATTGTTTAAGGTGACAACAAAGAACACTGTGCACTGTTTTGACTGACAGCTATTTTTCCTTTTATTTCTCTTCAATAGTATTTGAATATGTATATGGAACTCTCAAAGGCTCTGGGAGATAAAGATGGCCTAGGTAAAGCCTATAAAGCAATTGCCAATGCTCTAGAAAGGTAAGTGTTGATAACATCTCTTTTTTTGACATCTCAGCTAGATGTTACATACAGATAAGGTTTATCCAACAAATTGTGATCTATTAAACTTAGATCATAGTGCCTTCAGTCACAAAATTTAGAATTCTTCAGTTAGAAATGCTACACATGAATTGAGGCTTTAGTATTGAAAAGTCCAGTCAGAACTGTGGGAGAAAACTGGAGATCTTGGCTAAAACCCATTCAGATACATGGGGGAGAATTCAAACACCAAAAACTCAGACAGTGGAATCGGCTGAATTGAATGAAATTGAACCCTGCAGCTTAGCTAAGCAGCAGTGCTAGCTACCATCCTACTGTACCACCTTCCTTTAAGTGTATAATGCATACAACTGTACTGCCGTGATTACATGTAATATTATTGTACTCCATATTTACAAAATATGCAGAATATAACCATGTTAATCAGATATTCATCAACCTATCAAGGTGAAGAATGATAAAATTACAGATTCTACATCACACAGAAAAAAAATAAACTCATTTCATTTAATTACCTTGATGTGTTCATTTAAGCTGTCCTGATCTGGCCAAAACATTGTATATTCTTCCCTGCACGTGGAGGCAACCCAATTTGATCCGCTCATACCGATTTAGTATTTAGTAACAGTTTTGCTGTACCCTAAAGTTCTGCTACACCATCCCAAAATAAACCAGGATCTCAGTCACATTGGGGTGCTATTGCATGTAGAATAAAAACTTACTTTTTATGATTATTTTATCTTCTGCCTCTGCTTTATTTCATTGGCTTTATAATTTTCTTAATTTTTATTTCATTGTGTAATATGTTTTTTGTGTGAACATATGTGTAAACGTATAAACCTTCTGTGATATTAAAGGCACTAGAGTACTTAATGAACAAATACATTTAAAGTGTACTAATTAGATCAAAGGTAGCAATGCATCCAGTATATACATTTCAATGCTTATACCAAAATACTGAGATACTGAAGTCTTAACTGGGATTTCCAGTAGAAAACCTAGTAAATAAAGTGTTTTATTTTTAATAAAATCAATTAGCTTTTACCTTCTTGAATCAATTAAACATATTTATAGTCCCAAACATTTATATATTGATATTGCAAAAGTATTTTGAGAGTTTTGGCAGGTAGTATGATGGTTTCAGAGGGATCACTAAGGCAGGAAAGGGCATCGGCCTTGATGTTCTTGGAACGTGGGATATAAGTTATGAAAAAGCAGAATCTGGAAAAGAACAAAGTCCATTTGGCCTGGCGAGGGTTGAGGCATTTAGCAGATTGCAAGTAGGCCAAGCTTTTGTGATCAGTGAGGATAGTAAATGGATGTTGGGCACCCTCCAGCCAGTGCCTCCATTCCTCAAGGGCGAGCTTCATGGCCAAAAGCTCTCTGCTCCCGACGTCGTAGTTAATCTCCGCCGGGGATAGTTTTCTTGAAAAGAAAGCACATGGATGAAGGGTACCTTTCTCTCCATGGCATTGGCGTTGACTTCAAGCACAAAGGGAAGAGCAGGATCTGAATGACGGAGAACAGGTGCTGTGGAGAATTGTTTCTTGAGACGGTTAAAAGCCAGAGGTCCACTTGCCTTGTCTAGGGTCTCCACGGGTTAGAGCAGTGATGGGTTCCACAATAGAGCTAAAATTCCTGATGAAACAGTGGTAAGAATTAACAAAGCCACTGTACTTGTTTCAATTTCTCAGGGGTGGGCCAGTCCCGGACGGGTGTAACCTTAGCAGGGTCCATCTCAACCCCGAGTGATGAGATTATATAACCCAAAAAGTGTATCCTGGAAGCATGTAAGGTGCATTTCTCCAATTTGGCAAATAATTTATTAAGGATAAGTCGAGTCAGGACTTTGCAGACATGAAGAATATGGTCTTGTAAATTATGGAAAAAAATTAAAATATCATCCAGGTAGACTAGCGCATATTTGTGAATGATGTCTCTAAATATATTGTTCATGAAATTCTGGAAAACGACAGGAGCATTAAACAAACTAATAGGCATCACCTGGTATTTGTAGCGGCCAAAGGTGGTTTTGAAGGCTGTCTTCCATTCGTCCCCTTCACGAATGTGGATTAGGTTGTAGGCACCCCGAAGGTCAAGTTTGGTAAAAATAGTGGGACCCTGAAGTGATTCTAGCACAGAGGAGATGAGGGGAAGGGGATAACGGTTCTTGATTGTGATTTGATTGAGACCTCTGTAATCGATGCAAGGCATCAGGGATCCATCCTTTTTTTCAACAAAAAAAATCCAGCGCAAGCAGGAGAGGTGGAAGGACGTATAAAACCGGACATTAAGGATTCCTGGATGTAAGTTTCCATGGCGTCAAATTCTTTTAGGGACAGAGAGTAGATTTTCTCTTTCAGGGGCAGAGATTCAGGTAGAAAATCAATGGTGCAATAGTAGGGCCGATGTGGTGGTAAAGAGTGCTTTTGCTGGCTGAATGCCAAGTGAAGGGGGGAGGGATCTTAATGGCTTCATCCTGAGGGACATGGGTGACAGAAAGTCTTAGAGGTAGCTGACAGCACTGATTGAGACATTGAGTCCAGAGTCGAAGAAATTTTCCTCGGCACCCGAATCAACAAAAGCCAAAAGAGATTCTTGAAGTTTATCCCAGGAAATGGTTACAGGAAGAAAGGGCCCAGATGTGGAAGAGGAGGAAGGAATGATACCGACCTTAGAAGTGGGCGAGGAAGTGCAAGGAGGGTAGACTGGCCAAGAGTTGGACACCCCTCAGTAGAGGCAACACCCTTCACAAAGCCGGTGGCTCCTCTCCACAGAAGATAATCTTGTGGGTGGTTGTCTAAAATTTAAATTTATGTTCCTAGAGTCTAATGTCAATCTCACAAAGGAAGGAAAGTAGAGTGGCAGGTATGGAAGGTGATCCTTGAGTTCATTTGACATCCTGGAGCGGAAGTAATGGATAAGAGCTTCCTGGTTCCATGGGACTTGGGAAGCCAAAAAGCAGAATTCTGTGGTATAATCCTGGAATGAACAGGATACTTGGGTGAGAGAGATGAGATGTGAAACGGACAAATAATGTGGATGGTATTGACCAAAAATGGATTCCATGGTAGCCTGAAATAAGTTTATGTCAGCGGTCTCAGGGGGATTACAGGCAAGGAGATTAGTCGCCCTGTCCAAGGTTGGAAAGTTCAGCACTCAGTTGGAAAGTTCTAGAATTTAACAGGTTCTCCATCAATTATTTCTGGGACAGGGAGGGGTAAGGGGTTAGAGGCGATGAAGAGAGGTTGGACTGGCACGAGTGCGGCTTGTTGAGGTGGTGGTGAACGAGTGATGTAGTCCACTAATCATTGAACTGCCGCGGTCAGTTGTCTAAGAGCCAGGGATTACTGTTGAAGAATGGAAAATGGGTCGCTCTGGCCCACTGGGTCCATGTTGCTGTCTCACTATTCTGTAAGTAACAGCAGAGAAGGGAATATAGACTCCGTGCAGGGCTCAAAAAGAAAGGCTTAGGTAGATCCATAAAAAAACTAAGTTAGACAAAAGAGTGATTTAAACCATGAGTTACCAATCTGAGTCACAAGGGCAAAAGTTGTAAACCAGAAGCTGGTCAGGCAGAGAAGAAATGAAGGAGAAAAGAATGCATACTAGGAGCTTGAGAAGAGAATCCGCAATAGTGAGAAGGGAAGTGTGAAAAGAGGGGAACTGTGACAGGAGTGAACTGTGATAGGAAAATTAGTTGTGAGATGAGCATTTGTTTAACACAGTGTGTATGGGAATGTGAGACTGTTGAGGAAAGCATGTGGAATGCATAACATTGAGACATTTGACTGACAAGTTTTCTGAGAAATTAAAAAAATAATGAAATAGTTTATAAATTAAATCATTTTTATCAGAGATGTACCATTTATTGTGGTCTATTAAAATACAGGACAGCATTAATCATTGAACCTATGACACAAAATGTTCTTATTTTCTTTAAATGAGAAACAAGTGAATGAAATGCATTGTACAAAGCTGATCATTGTTCTTACTGTAGTGGATTTTAATAATGTTTACATACCAGCCCAAAATGAAAAAAAAATGTAATTTAATCTTTTTTTATACAAAGACCTCAGAACTAAAATTGTAATGCATCTAACTGAAGGAACTCTGGGCTGAATTTACTGTAATTGTATAAATAATGCAATTGCTTTGAATAGTATTTGTAATAAATAGTAGAATATTCTATATATTTGAAAATTGAAACACTAATTAATTGGAAACATATTTTAAATGTAGTGTTGCTGTTACTGAAATGTTATCTATTCTTTTTTGGAAATAATTAAAAGCATTATATAGTAGGGTGTCGACATTCTTGAAGGTTCAATGCAGAGAACCATCATAAATAGCCAAGTCCATAATGCATTACAGTATACAGTGTGTTTGGTTAAAAGAAATACAGTAAGTAACCCTGTCTTATAATTGAAGTACTAATGCATTGGCCTTAAGTAAATTAAAATAACATTGATTGACTATAACAAACAACAGTAATTGCAAACCTATAGTAATCAGCTAAAATTAATAACATGAATCCCTCTTCTATGTCCAGCGGATGCCTGCACTTTCTTTCTCTACCTCTGTGATTAGCACGCCTCACTGTAATGGAAAGGGCATTAAATAAAATTGTCGGTGAGCCTATAAAGTCAACTCCCAACTCTCATTCCCCATGCCACTGAAATAGCTGGGAGTATTACTTACTGTACAAGACAAAATAGCACCACGTTGAGGTGTGGATGGTGGATAGTGGGTACTTGGGCAGGCTGCAGGGAGAGGCTTTTAAAGTATGATATTTGTGTACAGCAAGTAGAGAAAGTACAGCTGTAAACATCGATTCACTGAAGAATACAGCATATGCATGTAGTGTTGCACATATCCTTTACAACACTTTTGACTTCACAGCTAATAAGCACATCAATGATAGATAGTTAAATTGCAAAAAATGTTCAGTGAAGGTCTAATACTGGTGCATAAAATAAAAACCACCAATGTCAGTTCAAAACCACTTATGATGTGAGCTCAGGGGTGTATTTATAAGAAAGATTGCATATTTAACAACCTTAAAAATCATGATCCAACAGATTATTTTCAAAAGAGACTGGGTTCAGCAGCTCGCATCTTCCAAGTTCTCATATTCAGGAGTGGTAAAGGGTTCCATGGGCTCTAATTTCAGTGTGCACATATCCTCCTCAGGCCTAAATACTCCTTGCATATTTTCTGTTGGCACCACCCCTTAGAAGGAAAGACTTGATTATGGACAGGCTCATACCATATTTTTGTGTCAATGTGTAGATTAATTATTAAACCCAAAAATTACATTAGATAAAAACACTACAAAGGAGTTTGTATTGTCATTTTAACAATACGGAGAAATACTTCTTATATCCATAAATGTACATTTTGCTATCTGATAACAACATTGGAGAAAGGTTGTTATCTAAGTGCAGCACATCTTTCAATCCTCATTCACTGATGTATGAGAAGAAACCACTGAGGAATTGTTGCTGCTCAACTGGCAAGTTTCATGCTCTGTGGGACCATGATCAGTACTCTGATACTGTACAGTAGTTGGTCTTTTGTGCTAGTCCACATTTTATGACCTCTTTTTTTAAATCTCCACCACCTTTATTTTTGTAATGTCCATTTAGTTTTATTTTTTGCAGTATGGTATTTCACATTTTATTCCTTGCACATCGTGAAAAATTACACAAGCTGTGTGTACACTCACATCTTTTTCAAACATCTCTGATTCTAAGTTGGTAAACTTTACTTTTGCTTCCTGGTATCCTCATTATCATGCCTACCACAGTACTAGGCTAACAGTTTGGGGATGTTAATTTTTCAGAGATTTTATGGAAATAAAAAGTTTACTCAAACCTGCCATTTATTGTACAAGACAAGTAATTCTCCACTGTTAATTATGGTAAGTGGTATTTGTAACTAGTGCATTGGCTAAGTGTGGGCCTGTTTTGCTAATTATTTGTTACTGTAATTGTCATATTGACAATATATCTCCAACCAAATGTCTGCTCACCCTCAGAGAGTCAGAGAGTATGTTGACCACATACTGTATTGGTCTTATCAGGATCATGGAAGACAATTATACTCAACCATGTGAAGTTGCCAGTGATGATAATAATGAATTAGATGTGGTATGCATATATAAAAACAACATGTTATATAACAGTAGGTTTTCAACCAAGTCATTAGTTTCTATAGAGTAGAAAGCATAACTTAAAAATATACCCACTATAAAATGAAGTACTGTATGAGAGCAGTCTTGTAATTTTCCTAATGCAGATTACCTTAGCAAAGGAATGTACAGGTAGCAAAATAATTACCAAAGTTTATTATTTTGTTATTATTTTGCAAAGTATGGCATTTTCTCCAATTGACAGAGTTAGGACCATGAATACAAATCCAGGTACTGTAACATGAATTAATAAATAATGACCACCTAGCAAAAATAATAGAAATTACTACCTGCAGTTAATATATGCAAAAATGCATAAGGTAATAGGGAATATAACATACAGTAACATGTGTAATCCCAAAGACAACTAGTAGAATAAAATCATCAGTGTACCGCCTTCTAAAGTAGATTCCAACTACTGTAGGACTGGCAAGTAAAATGATGCCATGTAGAATATAAGTCTATATTATGCCCACAATATAGTTTCTGTAACCCTGAGCATACTGAAAGTATTATTCATATAAAGTAATTCAGTAGTACATACAATTACAGTACTTGCAAATTTTGCTTGATGTGATAGCCAACAATAATTACCCTGGAATGGAGTCACCTTTAGTGAAAAATAAAACTGTTATTCCTTTTATTGCTCTGGGTTGGTTGGCTTGGTATTATCTCTAGTTTATGCAGAATGGACCTTTTCATACTGGCTTGAAATTAAAAAGATATGGCTCCACAATTGTCTTATTTATATTTAGGTTTTCCAGAAAGTATCAACAAGAGGCAATATCTAAACAGAAATGCTATGTTTTAGCTGAATAAAATTTTCCACTTGTTAGGTTATGCTTTCAATTTTTTTCATCTCTTCACACTTAGATTTCCCTTATATACAATTAAACGCCCCAGTAAGCTGAGGATTTTCATTAAATTGGACCTGCGGGTCTTATATGAAATTTCCAAAAATGACCACAGAAATAATTACATGGGTAGTGTTTACATTAATTCATGAAATAGAAGCAGCCTTTTAGATTTCCACCTGTCACTGATCCCATTCGCTTTATTGCTAACAGCTCAGGCCCACAAACTTGGTGGCACAATCGTCAAACCCCTGAGTGGCTGTTTCATCCCTGCTCTATTTGATTTTTCCACTCTGAGCAAATGATTAAGTTTTCATGCATTGGTTCAACCAAAATCTATGTTCACTCAACCACATCCTTTATTGATTACTTCTAGTGCAAACAGTAGGCCAAGTGTGATATACATAATTGGACAGTTGTCAAGGGAGGTGGGTGTTAACAGTCCTGTTTTCCCAGTTGGAAATTGGAAACACCTTGATACACAAATAGTCTGCACTATCTCAGTCTCAATCTCTGGACCCAGGGATTCTGTTTTCTCACAAGATATTTTAATTCATATCCCAACTATACGAAAGGGTGATATTTATCCATCTAAATGTTAGGAAGTCAAATGCTTTTATTTTATTTAATTAGTAACTTCCTAATTGCATTCTTTGTTTATGTTACATGTATATCAAGGTGTGGGCTTTTAAATGTATTTTAGGATTTGAATTGAATGGTGGAAATAAGAAAAATGAAGACTTGTTTGCCTTCAAAAGCAGTAAAATCAGGCAATCCTTATTTTATGTGGACTGTATAATTATCAAAATCATTGAATGCTGTATGTATCTTTTATATTACATTTTTCTATACAAAGGTTAAATAGTTTGTGTCTATTTTAAAACTGCTAAAAAGGTAATTTTACTCATTTCAAAGATCTGCAATAAAAGTTGTTAAACTATTAGGGATATGAAAGTCAGTAATATGTTTTTATTATTCCAGTAAATTGTTATTACATTCCTTTCACCTTTCAGCTACTTTCTTCTTTTATTGAAGTAAAGTTTTTAGATCTTTTTTGCTTGTTTGTTTATTCTGTCACCAATTCCATACTAAACATGAACTACAAAATAAAAGGTACCAGACAAATGGAAAGATTTTATAGGAAATACACTTCAGCCATTTTTCAAATCTAGCAGGGTTCATTGTAAGTGAAATAACTGTAAGTTAAGACATATAAATACAGTATTCTGAATCTCACTGCTAAAATACAGAATGATTTGAAGAGATTTCTAATTATGTTTTGCATATGCAGTATTTAGTTAAAGTAATATGTAAAAAATAATTATTTGTACTGTATATACTGTATAAAAAGCAGAATTAGAAATCTCTGTTGCTGAACTAACCATGGGTGACCTGGTGCTGGTTGTGTATACAGTACAATATTCCTGCCATCCACAAAAGTTTGAAAGATCTACAGTTACTGCATCTACATACAGTACTGTAGAGTGACAGACAAGCTTTAGCTTGAGAAACTAAATTAATATTGCCAAATTAACTTCTCAAGCTAACATAATTTCTAAAGTGTTTACATGGTGTAAATTAATTGTATTTCTGCTATTTGATATTTTAGTGAAGGAAAAGTTGCAGAGTCTGTTGAATACCTGGAGAAGTTTGTTGAGGTGTCACAAGGAAGTGACCAGAGTCGAAGTTTAGAAGAAGCTTGTATGTGCCTGGGAGTCATTTTCAATTCCAGAGTAAGTGCTTGTGTCTAATGTCATTAAAATAAGTATACAATATACAATGTTCTTGAAGAAATCCATATATCATTACATGTTGTTTTTACAATTCTTGAAATTCAAAATGATATTATATTTGTGAAATACATTAAAATTTAATCTACAGGTACCTTGGGCAGTTCCAAGTCCCAAGCACGCAACTCCTTGAAAATCATATTTGTTTAATAATAATTCCTTGGAAAAAAAGAATAATTTTATTTATTTCAGCATATTTATATAGGTGTTTTTCATTCTGGTGTATCTCATTTTCAGACTGTATTTTGATATTAATATAAATCAATTGTAAAGTCAATTACATAGAATGACGTAACGCATTAGTATACTGTATAAGTTGAGACATTTGGTGTACAATGAACATACTCAGTATACAAAGGGCTTTATATTTAAAAAAAGTTTAAAAATTATTTTTTCTTTATTGTGAACTATATACCAGTGTGGTGTAGCTATATCCTTGTCTACTCATACTTGTCTATTGTCATTTAACAAGCTCAGCATTGAGCGGAATATCTATATATTTTTTTAATTTTGGAATATAAAATAGAAATAGTGCCTTGCAATTCAGAACTTTTCTACATTTGCTATTTTTACTGTTAATACACAAAGAATATGAGAAAGCAAGAACTATTGTCAACAGACATAAGCAGTTCTCTTGTTGTTAAACAATTTGAAAATATCTCAAATGGCTTCAAGCAGCCTCATAGGAGAACAAGCTTTATTGGAAAAACAAAGTATTTGTTGCTGGTACTGGTATGAACCCAAAGGCCCGTCGCTACACTGCAAACTAAAGATATCCTGGCTCATTTAACAAATCAAACAAACAAAAGGTACAGAGCTAATTATGCACCACCACATAAGATCTCCTGTTTGCAGTAAACCAATAACATAGATCAGACGTCAGCCAACTATGTCTGGAACAGAGCTTGATAGTTTGTGATAGCACAGTGTATATTTTCAGCAATCTATCTGTGATACAACCTGGAGCAGGATGTTGTATATATGAACATTTATAGATAATTCTAAGTGAAACAAACATAAAACGCAACCATAGGGTAAATAAATAAGTGCTGTACTGGGGCAAAGAAAAAACTCCAAAACCAAAACTAAATCCTAAACTTTCTCATTTGTTTTGCACTGTCCTTAAGCACGGGATACTTTCCCTGGCAGCCGCTCTCCAGTGATTTGACCCAATGTCAATAAAATGTTGGGTCAAGCTCCAGAACCCTTGCCATTTGACAGCAGTCTCGAGTTCAGAGTTAGCAAGGGTCAGTTTGACGTATATGGCCAAACTTTGATTCCTAAGAAAATGATGTGATTTGAGTTTGTATTTTTCTGCCTGAGGGTGTACAGCTTTTAGTGCCTCTTAAGGCCTCTCGCCCCTGTTTTGGTTTTAAATATGGCTTCTATGTGTTGCATGCAGCATTTTCATCTCCTTTGCATTTACAAAATGTCACCTAAATATCTGCAAAGCATTGCTTTTACCCTGCAGCAATGCATAAGTTACAGTCACTTTTCATTAACATAAGTTTTTCCAAACAATCTCTGGTCACTTCCACAATTGTGTTCTAAAATAAGACTATTACCCTTTCAAATACAGCCAAACACATGATTGTATTTTATTGCTTAAGTGCTTTTTGTTTTCTTGTATCATAATATATTTTGTATCTTGTTCTAATAGGTTAAAAAATTACGATACCAACTCCTGATTGGCTGGAAAGAAAACCAATATTTGCAGCCTGGGCATTTATTGCTGATATTATGCATATAGTTCCTGCATTTTGGCATCCTATATGCATGTATCCCATTCTTGCTTATCCCAAGAATTAAGCTCTTTTTCTTTCCCAATCCTGTTTTCATGTGCACCCTGCACCGTTTCATCCTGAAAAAGTCAGCACCTATTTTTTCTCTTACTGTGGGACCCCTGATAATTTTTGCCTGGACTATACAACTTAATCTGTTTTAATTATGAATTAGTGTCATTACCAGTAAGATAAGATTACTTTATCGGCCATATACAATTTCTTGTATTAGGAATTAGTCTTGTTGCATACTCCAAATTGCTCTACATGACATACACAGACACACAGACAGGGAAAGAAGCTTGGGGTCAGGGCGCAGGTTCAGCCATTTATACGGCACCCCTGGAGCAGTTGGGGTTAAGGGCCTTGCTCAGGGGCCCAATGGAGTAGGATTCCTCTGCCGGCCGCGGGATACGAACTGGCAACCTTCCACCCACAGGCGCAGAACCTTAACCACAGAGCCACCACACTGCCCCAGTTAAGCCCCTCTGGAGCAATTTGGAAAGGATAGTTTCTAATTTGTTAACCCACAGTATTTAAGTCATACAGTACATAATACTGTCCCCCCCAGTGTTACCAACTTGGCCGAATCTGTCTGCCACAAACAAACCTGAACCTAGCATCCACCCTAAATGATAAAACAAGACCTAATCAAATATTAAAAAATAAACATGAACAGCATGATTTTGAGGCCACCAAACTAATGTAGAATTTCTTCTACAAATGCTTGTTTTTATGCCAGCATTTAAAGAAATGTCTCTAATAGGGCTGACACGGTTACAGAGCTGTGTGTCCGAACAGGTTGTTAGCAGTATTGTGGCTCCACAGGGGACTGTCCTTGCGCCATTCCTGTTTACCTTTTACACCTCTGACTTCAAGTACAACTCTGATGCATGTAATCTGCAGAAATATTTGGATGACTCTGCAATTGTGGGGTGTATTAGTGAGGGGAGGGAGGAGGAATATAGGAGCCTGAGTATCAGCTTTGTGGAGTGGTGTCATCTTAACCATCTCCAACTCAACATCTGCAATACTAAAGAAATGGTCATGGACTTTTGGAGGAATAAGTCTCTGTTGACTCCTGTTTCCATCCAGGGTGAGGACATACAGTAGATGGTGCAGTCCTACAAGTACCTAGGGATACACCTAGATGATAGGTTGGAATGGATTGTTAATACTGACACCCTGTACAAGAAAGGTCAGAGCCGACTCTATATTCTTAGGAGGATCAGGTCCTTGTGTATGTGGAACACTGCTACAAATTTTTTATGAATCGGTGGTGGCAGTGACCATCTTCTACGCTGTTGTGTGCTGGGGCAGCAGCATCATGGCAAGAGATGTGAATAGGCTCAATATACTCATCAAGAAGTCTGGCTTGAGGCTGGAGGCAGTGGCTGAGAGGAGAATGCTGCCCAACCTCACAGCTATCATGAACAACGCCTCTCATCCGCTACTCGGGACTGTTATTAGACAGCGGAGCTCTTTTAGTAACAGACTGCTCCTGCTATGGTGTTCAAGGGAATGTTTTTGCAGGCTGTCAGGGTGTTTAACACTGCCCTAGGCTAGGCCTGTTAGCCCTTCATTTGCTCATCTATGGACAGCATGTTGCACTCGTTTACTTTTTGGACACTGCATTAATTTACTGTTTATACTTTGATATTTTCGATCTGTATCTACAGTATTTATATACAGTATGCACATTTTGCACATCTTTTATTGTTTTACAGTGACCATTAGCATATTTTGCACACACCTATTTTGCTAACTATTTTATTTTGTATTCTATATACTTATTTAATTACTCTAATGCTGTAGTTATTTTAATTTTAGCCTATTCTGATGTCTGTCTTGCTTTTCTTGGGCTGGGCTGCTGTAACACCTCAATTTTCCTTTGGGATCAATAAAGTCTTATCTTACCTTGGGTTTACCTTATTATCTCCTTTAACAGCACTTGAGCAGCAGAGAAATACGTACATGCGAACTAACATTTAACAATGTAATAGAGTTCACAATCATTCCTACATACAGTAGCTGAATAGAAAATCACAAAATGTAAAGAACAACAGAGTACGTAACTTAACATTTTACCATGTTTCAGAATGTATTTTTAAAATGTGTAACTGAATTGAGTGTCCCTTCATCATCTTTGGCCTGCACATGACTATTTGGGTATTGGATTTAAATGGATTTAACTTGGATTGCCTTTACAGAAGATTAGCTTTCCATTGTAAAAAATTAAAATATAATAGTTATATGTTTAAAGATTTTAAAGTTATTTTAAAGATAGACAATATACTGTAACCCATACGGTGGACACTGCAGGTTGTTCGAGCCGGCTTACCAGCATGGTGATGTCACCGCCTTTCCCAGCGAATAGCAGGGACCGCAGCCACTGGGCTGAGGGGAGATTTCCGGGCTTCGCTTAGCCAGCTGAAGCTTAGCTGGCTGGGGCCTGCTTAGTGACGCCGGAGGCCCGGGTTCGAGTCCCCAGTGGTAGGGGGCTGACCTGAGGCGGCAGCGGTGAGGGCGCATACCCACGTGAACCCAAGAGCGCTACAATACTGTTAATAAATTTTGCTTCAAAATTTCAATTTAAGATGATGACACACTGGCAAAGCAGTTAATATGGCTCCTTCATAGCTCTATGGTCTTGGGTTTGATTCTGGTCTATTTACCATGTTCTTTGATTGCTTCCACCCTCCTATAGACATCTTGTTGTCCTGTGATGGACTTGTATCCCATCCAGAGGGTGGGTAGTCATGTGTTCTGAGGCTGACAATGGATGGATTATTTTAAGCAGATAAATGCTTAAACCCTACAAAATGTTCCATGTGCTTGTTTTCCTATGAATTACATGTAGTCTCTGATTAATTAAAAAAGTAATCATTTCTAATGTTGTAACTTCTAAATACAGTTACTTTTTCCATATAATTGAATTAGTACATGAACAATTAATTTAATTAGCAATGACAATAACTTAAGGGTAGGAATCACCATGATTAGATGTCTATAAGTGTTAATTTCTCAGTGTGCATGAATCTTACTTTAAATAAGATGTCATATCGTGAGGATATAAAGCCACCAGAAAGCTGTGCTTTTGGAATCATTTAGTAAGATTTTGTTTGATAAATGTATATTTTGCATTTTCACAGGCTTATTAGACTGTGCACAACAATGTAAAAATCATTTGTCATTTCTATTTAATTTGTTGTATTGTTTCTATGTTGAGAGTTTACTATAATGAAAATGGATCTGTACTACAAGCTTTCAGACATCGAGTGTGTTACTTCTTTTCCCAGCAGAGATCCAAACAGATGCATAATAAAACCTAAGAAAATAAGACTTTTTCCTAGCAGGCCTCCTAAACCAAGCCCCTAGGCCCATCAGAAAGATTGTACAACTTACCCTTGAGACTGACATGATCTAGACCTGCAGAACATACAGCAAGTTGAGTTGTACATAACTGTGTTGCACAACATACTGTACAGCTGAATTATAACTGGCTAAATAGGTACATGCTTACAAGCTACCAAGGGGAGGAATTTATACAGTGGAAGCTGTGATGAAGCCTTTCATTACTCCTACTTTAGAGACACTTTAACTTATTGTAAGAAAGAAAAAATATTTATCTGTGTTCAGATGTAATTTTACAAACAAATTGTCATGAAAATTTCAAGGCAAGGGTACTATGGCAAAGGAAAAGAGTTTTATAAAAATTAATTTTGATTGCTTTTTAAAATGGTGTTTTTGGCTGTTTCTTCCCATTTTAGTTTTCAGCTGAAGGAAGAAGCAAATGTTTTTCCCATCAGTTTATGATTTATTAGGTAAATGCTGGCTTCAAAGAAATCATCACACTAATATCCTAAAGTTATCTTTTTATCCACTTGTTTTGTTATCAGCTTGTGGTAAATAATAATATTTCAAACTATTATAAAAAATAAAATATAAAAAATAGATAAACACAGTATTGTTTCAGCTCCTGATATTTGAATAAAACCAGGATTTGCCTTTGTGCTTTGAGAATGAAAGGCAAACATATACCTGATAACTCTGGAGATTGCATGACCTTTTGTTCTCTTTTGATGAGATATTTTAACAAAACATAATGTTAGTGTCACCCTGCTACCTCTGGTATTAGATTGAACAGAAACAAGAGGCAGAGGGAAAGAGGAGGGGTACATATATCTTTATAACCTCACGTTCCACTGTTGACTTAGTGTAATACACACAGTACACTCAAAGACAAAATTTCAAAGTCCCCCAATACCTCTTTGTTTCATATTTTAAGGAATTCCCAGCACACAAGTTATAAGGTTACTGTCCTATTCTTGTTTCATAAGCAATCTAACAGCATCTGAAGTGTAACCCTTGAATTACCCACGTGCATTTGCATTATAAAAACATCCACTTGCAGCGAGGGCTCCTATTGCACAATCCAAATATGCTACTGGATGCTAAGTGCCCCCTTATCATTCTAAAATAGCCCCTTCTCAGTATCTTTCTTTCTCCACTCTGATCTGTTTTAATAGGGTCAATATGACAAGGGCTGTGAGTATTTCGCGAAGGCTTATGAGATCACCAGGAACTTAAGAGATCTGCCACTGCTACAGAAAACACAGGTGTACCTTGGTGCTGCCAAAGCCCGCAAGATGATGACAGCGTTTAGCAGTCATATGGAAACAACTGGACTTGTCAACACAGAGGAGCTGCTGGCATGGAAGGATAGTCGAAATGACATGTTCAGCGATCCAAGTACAGTGTGTAAGTCATTGGTCACGAAACACATTAGTGCTGGCCTCCTAATGGGCAAGCTTTTTTTTTCCCGTTGTATTGTGTGTTAGATATTATGATGATGCTACATAATGGCAGATTACTTTATAGCAAAGGAAGATTATATATTGATATTAGATTTCTCAAAGAACCCTTCACCCATAATAGTGCATAATGTAGATATCCTTCTTTATTAATAGCCCTAATATAATACTATAATTTAATAATTTATCGTCTAACTTTTATTTTTCTTATGTATAATATATGCAAATACAAGTCTGATCTATTTAATAAAAAACAAAAAAATATATCTACAGTATATATGAAAAATATAAGTGTATTTTACACAGCAATCAACAGGAATTCTTATACCACATGATTGCTTGTTAAAGGTTTCAGTGCCTTATTCCATAAGTATAAAAATATTTGCAACTCACATATCCATAGAGTATACTATAGGTGGCTGTTTATTTGTTTTTAACATAAATCAAGTAAAAATGTAACATTGTTGGCATAGTCCACTTATTCATGTATCTCCTATCTGGTTTTGTCATGTCCCTTTGGATGTGCCATCAACTGGAAATCATTCAATACAAATCGTGTTAATTTCCTTAAGGTCTGCCTTAGATTGATCATCAATCCAATCCAATAGTTAACAAGCCCAGAATTTTCTATGGTTTGAGAGAGTAATACTAAGGTACTTTCGAGTCAACAGTGCCTTAGGTATACTTATATGCAGAAGTCAGTGCTATTTCGTCTGCTGTTATTCAGCAGTTCATAGGTGCTGTAGCCTTGTCCTTTTTCAAACACGAGAGCAGAGTATCGAGTTATTAGAACTGGCATCTGCAAGAAATGATTCTACCTATCAGAGAATCAAGAGTTAAGATGTACTTTATCTAAAGCAATATTCAGCAGAGTTTCTGCCCCTGAATCATTGAGTAGTCCTAGCTAATGACTTGTAGCCTATGAATCCTTGGGACTCTCAGGTGGCTTCTACCAACCAGTTTTTGCAGAATGATGAAAAGCCTGAGATAAAATAAACTGACAGTTGCTACTCATTGCAAGCAGCAAGCTGTACCCCAGCAGCTGAGACCCTTGGAGCCCTATTTTTTTTTAGTTCTTTTTTCTTTTTTTTTCTTTTTTTTAAGGAGGCACTCACTACAGTCAGCAGTGATTTGCAAACACAAGACAAACTGCCAGCTGGTGACCAATGGGGGGGCTATTATAGGAGGGAAACTGGGTTATCCAGCAATTGTTGGCTAATTAGAGGCCATTCCCACCTATTTTATTTCAGGCCATTAAACAGAAAACACTTCTCATCTTGCTCTCGCCTTTGCACATGACATTATACTCCAATCAATACACTCCTACTGGCTGCCTCAGTGCTTTTAAATTAATACCTTACAGTTCAAGAATTTAGTAATTGAATTTGGGGAGAAAATAAAGCCTGAGTAAAGAAAAGTTGTTTTAAGATACCACATATTAAGAACTTGTTGCATCAAATGTTTAATGTAGTACAAATGTTTTTGCACATGTTTGAAATAATTTCTTCCTGTTTCTTATTTAAAGCATACAATAGAAATTACATGTTCATGTCCATTGGTATAAAGTAAGACATTTCTCTCTCTAAATATATTGAAAAATTATATATTTTTCTCTACTAATCAATTAATAGCATAAGTTACACAGCAATGATTTTGGATTTTAGAGAATTAAATACAGCCACAAAATACAAGTCATTCATTTTCAGAATTTTTATATACATACAGTATCTTTGTGGTCTTTGTTGTTTGAGCAATAAACAGTTTGTTTACTTTGCCTAGGATTTTGAAACATAGGAACAAGTAAAGGTTTATTTGATTCTTATTTTTTCTTTTCTTCTCTTTTCAGCGTGGAATAAACCTTTACTTGTTCCTTTGCAGCCTACACATGCTGACACAGTTACCTACTAGAACATATTGAAAAATAGTACAACAAACATATCTATTATAGATATCTCAAAATAGATATATTATAGATATTTAAATATCTATTTTTATCACTGGTATACAGTAGGTTTTTAGAAATATGCTTGTGTTAAAGATTTTTAAATGCAGACATACTGTATAATAATACATTTTTTTTCTCAATCTACTGTATAAATGATTATTGTCAATACAGGTATAATCATTTTAGAGTTTATAATATTGTAAGTCATATGAGACCTGAAGGAGTTAAATTCTAAAATAAAGATGAAGGATCAAAATCAATTTAGAATCATGTCCGGATAAAAGTTTAACTTGGCAACTAAATAATAAAGATAAATAATTTTAGTCTCCAAAGTATGGGATCAGCAAGCGGTACATGGCACATGTTCTATATTCTGTGGTAGAGAATAGCAGAGTAATAACATATTGATAACAGAGTAATAACTGGGCCTAGACTTAGAAAATACAAATATTAATTAGCAATAAATAACACTAACACAATATTACATAACACACTATGATTACTCTATACACATAGGGTACCCTGTACACATACCTGTACATACAGATACGTACAATTGTGTGAGTTGCCTACCTCCTACAGACAAATAAAAAATCCCAGAAATCTGCCCCATCACCTTAATAAACAAAATGCCTTAATTAACAAGTCTGAAGCAAAACTGTGGGACCCTCTCACAGCACAGCTTCTACAGTAATGATGATGATGATGAATGTCCTTCTTTCATCGTGTCCATTTAATGTAATAGCTTAATACTTTGGATCCTTACATTGCAATGGTGGGTTGCCCAACTGTTAAGTCTTTGTTCTGATTTTCACATTTTGCTTAACAGTTTTAACATTTTCAGAATCTCCACATTACCAGCATTTACAAAACATGCAGCAGCTAGAGTAGGAAGATTAGGTCTCCTTTGAGACTTTCAAAGTGTTCAAAGATGTTAAAAAAATAAGTAGGTTAGAATACAATTTCTATGTATATAAAACATTGAAACCACGACATAGAAAAACTATAGTCAAGTAAATGTATTGCAGCAATTTTAAAAATGAATAAAAAAGTATTAAATCAATGGGTTTTTCAAAATCTGAAGCAGTATGTTCACATGCAGCTCAAGATACAGGTAAAGACTTACTGTTGTAGTAGTCTAAATGTGATGGCTCTGTATGCATTGCAGAATGGCCTTTTGAAGTCATAAAATGGATTTATCTCCAAAGCATTGTGAAACAACAAGACCCAGATTATTTTAGTATTGCTTTGTATTTATACCCACCTGCATTCAGGTAGGTACTGTAGGAATTATTTGTAATTCTATAACAAATTTATTTTGTGAATATCACTTGAACATTTTTGTCTTTACTCATATGTGCAATGGGCACCAAAAAGAGTTGATTTGACCTCTTTATGATTATTCTGTGTTCTAAGTAAAATTAATTAAACTTCCATTCAAGACAATATTAAGTTTATATATTTGGTCACACTTTCCATGTTTTGTTCCCAGGAACTATGCTGCTCCTTATAAACCAAGCCTGATAGTATTTATAAATATCAATTGCACTTTAATTATTTGGTCCTAGTATTTCTCTTTTAGCTGATATTGAATGACCTGCAGAAAAAAATGTGCAAGCCTCAATTTCTAGTGCTTCAACCTTTAATTATTTTGCTTTACACTTCTTTGAACTTAATTCATTTTCTTTTCAACATTTATGAGGTACAGTTCTGAAAAGCAAGTCTACTTACACCCATTTCCTTTGTTATGTAAACTCTCACAAATGCCTCTGTAAGAAAGCATTTAGATTTTTGCTTTGCCATTTTTCAGTCCATGTTTTTGTTTTGAGTGTCATAGCCTGCATGACACACAGTCATACATCAGCTGGAAAATATTAACTTTCTTCCTCTCTTTTATGGCTACACACTGAGTTGCCGGAACAGTAAAATGAACAGTTATCATACTGTAGTAATTAGTTCTGCAACTTTATTGCTTTATTACAGTACCCGTTATAGTAAAAAAAAATGAAAGAAATGTTTGGGGTCATGTAAACAAAGGACAGAACTTCCTTTAATAATCCTTGTGTTGTAGTTATCAATGTTACAGTTATCAGAGTTGTATCATATTATTTCTTAACTAAATACATTTCTATTGCAAAAGTATTCAGACTTTTGCATAGTTTTCACATTCTGTTGCTTTAATCAAAACTTGACATTATGACACTTTGAATTAGCAATTAATATTTATTAATATTAGTTTTGAGCATCTATTCAAAACTGAGCCACTATTCCAGCCTATTGCTCCTCTTTCCATTTGCACCTTTCAGATCCCCTCTCAGAACCTAGGAGGTAGGCTTTTACATCATCACTATTAGTCATTTTTTGTGGTACATGAGCTGGTTTCCCCAGTGCTACACCTTTGAATAGCTCATTCGTAAATTATTATACCCTTTTAACTGTGACTACTTTCTACTTGTTATTATTCAGCCTGAACTTGGTTGGCTATCTTCCTCAGAACCAATTTTTCCTTAAGGAGGGTTAAGTGAGAAATGTTGATTTCTTGTTGGGTTTTCATAGCTTCTTATTAGTCTTCAGTTATATGCCCTGTACTAGTGCTTTAACATGTCTTCCATATCTGATAATATAGACAATATCCTTTTCAAGGATGCCATAATCCATTTTTGCTGCCATAGTGTATGTATTTCCCTAGGATAAGGTAGAGCAGCTTAGAAAAGTACTGTGTTCAGTTCCTATATGGTTGCAGGGAACTGCTTGTACTATATGTGCTGAATTTCCTCATGACACAACCGAAGGAAGAGAACCAGTTCAATTATTGGCATATATATAATTTCCAACAATTAAGCAGCACATGGTACTGTATGTTGCTGTAGGTTGGATTTGGTATTCTCACTTTAAGGAGGGATGTATGCTTCTGTAGCGAGCTAGTTCAGATATGGTGACATCATCGCCCTCACTGCGCATAGCAGGGACCTCAGCTGCCTGGGCGTTACGCCCGAGACCCG